TTTCCAGCTTAGAAAATTGGCCGAACCCCAATGCCGCTCCCCTATTGGATGGAGCACCACGGGGTCCCTACAGTCCCCAAGAGAACCATTAGCATGCAGGCTACCGTGCTAGAGTGGTGATTCGCCTGGTCAATCCTACTGTAGGATTTGAAAGTGACTATGCAGCTCTCCAAAGAGCCAAATTTGTTTCCAGGTGTGCCATTATGGCCTGAAATGGATTATAACTTCTTAGTACTATAGGACTTCAGGGCTGAGTGAAATTTTTCTTTTGAGACAACAGAGGTACTGAAGAGCAACTTGCCCAGATATGCTTGGCACAAATGAAACTACAGCATATGGAGTAGGATGGAAAGCAAGTGGCTTTGGAGATTATTTATTAAAAGCCTCCAGCACTTATTCACCTGGCAGAGTTATGTGGAACATGCACAAAGTATCAGATAATGTAGCACAGGAGCTGGTAAGGATTAGGAGAAAAGACAGAGAAAGCGCTATCTTCTTAGAGCCTGCCATTGAATAAGGCAATCTGTCTTAGTTATAGACATAATTATTAAAAAACTAAGTAGAGTTTGGAGACTTTGTAAGTAAAAAATGTGCTCCTTTTCTTTCTCTCAAGAGACAAATGCAAAGATTTAGCTGAGGCCAACTTTGGGGTAGAGTGAGGTTCTGGCTTGGCAACTGCAGGTGCAGGAGCTGTGCTGCATGGCCAGGTAGACGGGACACCCCTAAAGTGAAGCAGCCGAGACTGGACATGGCTCAGATGGCCACAGAGAAAGCGAGAGGCAGCCTCAAGTCATATGAGTATTGTATTAGGTTTTGTATTAAGAGCCAGTCAGTACATAGTAGCTTAAGTTATTGTTTAATCTGAACTTCAACATTCAAATACATCACGGGTTATCATGTCAGTGGGAAGGGATGGTTTCGTAACACCCAGCGCTATGCTAAGCGCAAGTTGTGAGTCTGCTATGTAGGGTTTTACTGTTCTCCGATGCATGCTTTAAGCTCATCTCTTGTTAGTCACTGCCATCATGGAGCAGAACTCACTGTGAATCACACTGTTTGGCTGATGGGCAGAATGATGGGACCAGGAGGATGTGGACCTGAGGAAGAGGGACCTTCCACACCAAACGCAGGTGAAGGACAGCAGAGCATTGAAACAGGCTGCAGGGAGCATGAGATTTAAAAAGGGACCTTGGGACCTGCTGGTTGCCAGGACAACTCTCCATCTACCAAAATGCACGAAGACAGTTTGTTCATATGACAGCTCTGCTTCTCTGCAGCCTAATCAAATCTTGACATTTGAATTTCAAACTAATTTTTGGGAAATAACTTTTCAGATTCTCATCATATAGCACTTGTTCAATGTGAATGGAAATAATTACTTTGCCGAAGTGATTAGCATGCCCAAGAGTAAGTACAGACTTTTTCTCCATTTTTTTTTTTGCTTTTAGATAAATGTCAAATATGTCCTTTAAAGTGCATTTAATTTCTTCTTTTCTCAAGCATCATTAAAAAGTGGGAAAAAGTGTTGAAAGTGGAGGTCAGTGACAGGAAATGTGCATGAAGAGAAAGCCAAGATGACCTGGCAGAGAAAATATTTTCAGGAGTGATTTTATACACAAAATATAAAAGCCATTAATATCAACCTCATCCAATGGAGACCATCCTCTTCCAGACTTTTCTGGTGGCATCCTTTACAGTGGTGGCATCTTTTAGAGTGGGTACCCCTTCTGATCAAGGATACTTCTTGACAAAGTGAGACCCTGGGCTATGAGATCAGTACGGCTCCACAGAAGGAAGGGCCACTTAATCTACACGATAGGCTTGAATCAAGACTGTCCTATGCGAGGCTCATGTGTTCAGAAGCAGAACTTTTTGAATCACTGGACTAGTGCAGCGATAGTTTCAAAGCTTAATAGACTATACAGAGGTAGGGCCTGGCTGAAGTAGATCCCAGAGGGTTATAATTATTGTCCCCAGCCCCCCTCTGTCTTTACGTCTTCCCTTATCTGTTTGCTCCCCGGATGCTACAAGGTAAGCAGCTTTCCTGCACCATGCCATTCTACCATCATTTCTGTCTCGAAACAAGGTGACTATGGACTGAAATTTCCAAAATTGTGAGCCAAAGTGAAGCTTTTAAAAGTTATGTATGTCAGGTGTTTTGTCCCAAGTAAAGAAAAGTGACCGATACACTGTGTGAACTTCAGTCTTTTCCATTCTGAAGTGAGCTGATGGAAGTTGGGGTTGCTTGAGAGTGATGCTGTGATAGTGCGCGGTGCCAGCTACCTTACTCCATCTGCTAAGACCCCTAGTCCATGAGGTAAGTCGCCCTCTTTGCTTTGCCTTCCCTTTCCTTCCTTTCCCTATCTTTCTCTATCTTTTCTCTCTCTGACACATTGAGGGCACAGTTGCAGACAAGTTCTCTGACTCTTCCTGCAGGGTGTTGCCAGGATAAAAATCTTAAAAATGCACAATATCTTTTTCCAAGCACATCAACCTCTGGAAGTGCAAATGAAGCCCCCTTAAGACAAGTTGGGTGTGACTTCTGCAGTGACTACAAGAGCAATTACAATTTCACATTTGATACAATAGGGGTCTCCTGATGCAAACTCCTGAATCCCTCTCTCTCTCAAACTACCTATAGCTTCTCCATCTAAAACAAACCCTAGACAAGCAGTCTGTCTTGTCTGTTTCATTATCCTCACAGATGACCTCACCACTGAAATATTTCAAAAACATAAGCATAGAGTGAAACATTTGACAGAGGGCAAAGAGAAAAATGTTTGTATAAATACAAATGAAAAACTGAACTAATCCCACTCTCCATACCTGCACCAGATGTTTCTTGGGTGAGCGTCTCTAATGGTTTTGTTTTTGCTTTGTCTTCTGAATTCTGTAATTCCTAGATATTAGGAAAGAGCACTTCTATCCAAGGAATGCTATAGTCACATTTATAACAATAGAAGGGAAAGTCTAGACTCTTTCCGCATGCCCACTAAGCACTTCTCTTGCTCACTCTATGCCTGCCTTCTGGGAGACAGGTGAATCCAACGGGTATCTAACAAAGAGAACTCATGTTAGCAAATTACTCTCTGGAATACAACAGACTTCCCCAGCCCCCACTGTTAACAGGCTCCTGGAAGGGGATGCTTCTGTGCGTTTTCTGGGTCACACATAAAATCTGGTTGTTTTTCTCAGCACTAATCCACACTTGGCTACATACTTTAATCAACTGTCTTAAAATTCTCAAATGAAGCTATAAGATAAAGGAATGTGCTGGCTGTACTTATTTACCTTTAAAATCCTTTACTTGTTGGCATCATTCTTTCCTAAGAGTTGATTATAATACCTAAAGATTTCTTACTGCAGTTATAATCCAGAAGTAAATAACAAAAGGTCTTCAACCTAACCAGAGGGTCATGGGTAGAGAAAGCACTGGATGTGTGACACTGAGAAAGTCATTTTGCCTCTTGTGAAATGGGAAGTTCAGATGCAGTGAACTGCTTTTAACTGCAGCTTTGAATACTCTGTGCCTCTGTGTTTGCTTTTCTGTTGCTGCAACAGGAAACCCAAGGTGGGCGTATTTTAAGAGGAAAGACCTTACTGTTTGGGGGCCTGCCTGTCTAGGACTGAGAAGTCCTGTTTGACCACTGGTGATGACATCCACAGCAGGTAACGCCACCATCATAACAAATGTGGGGGAAGAGATCAGACTGAGGGAGAAAGCCAGGTAGATTCTGAGACCAAGTTTGCTCAGTGTTGTAGGAACTACATAGTCAGGTCTGACGAGAACTATGTTAGTCCTTCCCAGAGGTGGCATTTCCAATCATCTAATCATTCTCCATTTGATGCTACCTCTTAAATTTTCCACTGTCTCAAAAGCACCCCACAAGGGAAAGCTTACAGTACTTGAAATTTTAAAAGACACACTCAAGCTCTACCCATACTATAACAGATTTTAAAAATAAATTTTCATGTAATTGTCCAGTGGATAATAGAGCTATATGGTCAATTATCTTGGCTATGTACTCTCTATGTATAAAATGATTGTCCATTTCCAGTCAACAGAATGTCAACCTTGGACTTTCAAAACTAAGGGATGTAATGTTTTCCCTTCTTTCAGAGAAGAACATTGGTTTATGTGACAGTAACTAGTTAAATATAAAGAGATGTCCAGCAGACCACAAAAATATTACTTAGATGTTCTCTAAGTTAAATTCCATGCAGTTTTTTTCCATACTCTATCTTAAACTTCTCACCAGACTTTCCAGACATCCATTGTTGTTTAGGTTGTGAGTAGAGTATTCCAGTCCCAAATGTAACCCCCGGAAATCTCTCCAGACGTAGCCAGAGATCCTGGAAGCAAAATCACCCTATGCCCTACATTTTCTAATTCTGAATTTTATTTCTTGAAAATAAGACAAAGTTTTCAGAAGTTACTACTCTGATATTGCTCTGATTATTTTGAACATTACCAACTTCTTTCGTCTACATAGGATTTTTTAATAGACTGTTTCCACCCACATTATCTGTGGAGATTGAAGCATAGCAGTTCATTGTCTATGACACATTGGAAAAAAGAAACATCTTTCCTAGGATTCTTTTTGGTACCTCCTTTTTACTGTATATGGAATCCTGCCTTTTTGAAAAAAGAGCTCTTGCCATGAAGGATGTATTTAGGAAAAGTCGGGCTTGTGTAAACAATGTCTAGTTCCTTCTTTTCAAAAGGCATAAGAAAAGGAGATATTTAAATCACCTTGAAACATTATGCCTCTCCTCTGCTGGTAGACCCCATAGATATCATACTACATGTACACCTAAACACTTACCTAAACTAACCTAAGCCCCATAGTTCATTGAAAGGCTTCAGCAATTTTCAGATTTTTGCCTTAAATGTGAGTGCTACAGTTTATCATGCTGCACTAAAAAGAAGGGGGGGGCATTTTCAAGGAAAAGAAAATAACATTTCCCCCACACTTCCACTTCTTCCCCGACCCTCTTACCTGTTTAAGGATTTCAGCTGCTGTTTCATGTGAACAATCAAATATCACATAGAACTCCTTGCCCTTCTTCATCTCCTTGAGTAAAGGCTTAGCATCTTTATTCCCAGAGGGCAGCTGGCGGATTTTGATTTTAATGTTGTATCTGGAGGGAGCTTTGATGAGTTCTTGCAGACGAATTAGACCTAGAAAATGACAACCAATCATGCAACAGGGACTGATCTGTATTGTTTATCGCCATTTACAGTTAGACGCATATCATTCCCAAAGTGTATCAAGCAGCCACCTACCTAAAGGTTACACTATTGACTTTCCATTTGTCATTCCATTCCTCTTTCTGCAATGGATTATACTGATATTTTCCCTTTGGAGGTATGTGTGGCTAGGAAGCACAATTTTCTCCAGTGCATTTTGAATTTATTTAAAATGAAATCGTCCTCTCCAGGTTTCAAGCAAAAGTTTGGTAAGCAAAAATTTGCTTGAAGTTTCTAAAGGTGCTTTCTTAAAAAGCCAAAAGAATACAACAGTTCCTTGGGATTGTTGGCTTTTGTAAGCTCATCATTAAGTATTTATACACAGCATTCTGTTTAGCAGCTAAATGGTTGGGCTGCTTTATTATAACCTTTCAGTGCTGGACATTTAATCTGTTCGTAAATGACTCACTGTATTTCTTGCTAATATGCTTAAAAGTTGAACTGTAAAATCCTTATTGGATTAAAAACGCTATGAACTTTTAGAGATTATCATCATAAAAGCAGAAAAACTTCTTTAAAAATTGACCACTGATGCTTAAAAAGTGGGCCCAGTTGACTAGCTTAGCAGGGAATGTGTGCTTTCCCACAACGATGGATCCATTGAGGTGCTCCATTCCCTGATAGCAATGCATTAGGGGTAAAGGTAAACAGCCACACAAACCTCCATCTGATTTACCATCATGTTAACTGCTGTTTGCTGCACTGTACGATGCTATGTTTCACTCAAGGGCTCCCATCACATTGGAAAATTGACTTTTTCAAGTATCCAGTGTGGTACCATTAAGATTTTTCAGCGTCAAGAAATCAATGAGGAATCACAAGCACTAGGAGTGTTGGGGTGGCCATTATGATGCCCTGGTGCAAGATGTCAGAGGGACACCAGCTATTTTCAGACTTGATGACTTTTTTTTCCTTCTCTTATTTTATTTAACTATTTCTCTCCAGAACTTATGTTCCTTGCTGTTTAAATGAAAAGCGTTTCTCTAATGCCATGAGTAGGTTTGAGTCTTGAGTATTGTACAACAAATTTATGATCCTGCTTTTCAGAGTCAAGAGGGCAGGGGCAAGGTGGAGATTGTTGTAGAACCATATCATGTTTTGGCATCCATCATCCTTTTAATTTCTGTAGACAAAGTGAAATTGTTAGAATCATAGCCTTCGTGAACTCTTGGTACTTTTCAAATTACTCATGTGGTTGAAGACTTTCAGGTACCCAAAACAAGGCACTTGTATTATTACTTCCAAATTCTCTTATCCTAAACCCCCAGTGAGTACTAAACAAAACATAACATAACATAACATAACATAACATAACATAACATAATAAAACAAAAGAAGCACACAGATTTGTACTTTTGGTACTTATTATATTTGTTGATCCTTTTAATAATTTTATGAAGCAAGTGTTATTATTTGTATTATTTCAAGGGCATAAACAAAAGCCCAGAACAATGAGGTAACTTACTCAGGGTTACAAAGACAGTTGGGAGGGGCCACAGATCAAAACTGTAATTTGAGACCATAATGCTCAAGTGTATCCACTTCACTATTCTGCCTTATGAAAAGAAGTTGCCACTTCCAGAGGAATAGATACAATTTAGGATTATTTGATGAGATGGAGAAAATATAGAATCAGGGATGAATTTTCCTTTCTTTTTTCCCTAGGCTTCCTACTTGACAATCACATACATTTTTTTTTTTTAACTTGAGCATGACCACAAATGAGAGCTCGATGTGGCCTTTAAATAAAATGGAAAAATATTTTAAAAGTGCATTTCATATGCTGCAATGAACTGCTCTTTTGTTCTTTGCTGAGTGGAATGTCAGTTGGAAGAAGGTCTTCCAGTCCTGAGGATTTGCATATACTCCCCTGGCATTTAAAGTTTATGTGCATTTTCTCATTTCATTCATTCATGTTTAGGAAAAAATATTTCCAGCATGTTCATTAGATCCCAAGCTCCGTGCTAAGCCTTGTAAATCAAACACATCCCTGTGTCCTTGCAGCCCATGGAGGGTTTTCCTGCTGTAACTCTCATGAAGAGGTTGGGGCATCAATCCCCACTTTATTTAATAGATTAGGAGATGAGGCTCCTGTAGGTGGTGTAGCTTGCTCAAGGTCATGGAGGTAGAAATGGCAGATTCACTGCTTAAGTCAAGTCTAGCTCCTGTTACTAAAGTAGAGCTCTTTCCACTAAATCAATGTCACTGCCTGGTTTTTGGATTTCAAGATAAATAATTGAATGACGGATGCTTTCTACAAATAAATTACTGTGTAAGTAAATAGACAAAGAAGCATTGAACCAACCCAAAATATGGGAATTTTATTAAACATATGAGGCCATTCACATGCGTGCTTCCCCTTCCCAATAAAAGTAAGCAGACTTTCTCATAGTTGTTTCATAAAGGAAAGTAGATTTAATAGGAAGAGCGGAAAGGCAGGAGCAATTCAGTTTCTGATTGGAATAAATTTATCTTCAGGAAAAAGGTGTCATGATTGCCCTACTCTTGTCATTTGCCAGAATGCAGGTACATTGGCTTAGGAAAGGGAAGGAGCAACAGATTTAAACATTACAGACCCAAGTTGTGAGAAGAACAAAGAACGAGGAACAACAATTTCGCATTTGCTTTCCTGGAGCAATTGTTTGCTTAAGAAAAGTCATTCTGGTTTCATTAACAAATGATGTAGAATTTACAATTCCAAAAGCTGTTTTTGTTCCCGGGAGACCAAAGTTAGAGAAAGCTTTCCTTTTTGCATTTTGATTTTCCAAGCAATCCATCTATCATTTACATTTCATCATACTGAATAGTTAAAGGCATTATTTGTTACACAAATAATTACTTCAGGGAAAGGAAATTAATGCGGTGCAGCACCTCCTTTTGCTGCTCTTTTTCCTGTGTTCTCTGCCAGCCTGAGGAAGTGACCTGCTCCAGCCCCACTGGGACTCCAATTGCAGAGAATGTTAGCAGTGCATGTGAAGCTGGAAAGCTTCCGTTTTTCCAGCCCACTGGAGAGGAGGGGCTTCAAAAATGAAATGCAGGTCAAGAGAAACACAGACAAATTCAAGTGGGTAAGGTTCTACCATAAAACTGATCTAGTCTGGACTTTTCAAAAAAGGTCAATATTATGAGTCACAAAGGAAGGCTGAACTGTTCGGCACCAAAAATACTAGAATGATTTGACCACTAAATGCAATGAGTGATCCAGCACAAGTAGCAAAGATGGAATGACGTGCAGTATATGATTCCATATATATTTAGGTAGCACTACTGTTTCATCATTTTTAAATTTCCCACATTTCATAATTATATTGCAGTAGTAACAGGGGAGGTATCTGTGGGCTAAAACAGTCATAATGTCTATGACTTACATTCAAATGGCTGAGCAATGCTACTACCTACTACTATTGTTATTGACCTTACAGTCATTTTTACCACGCAAAGAATGATTGGGCATTAAAGCAAACATGGTCAAATAATAACAAATGCTGACTCTAGACAAGAGTTTACTGTACACTTAAATTTTCCCTGAGTTCAAGTGTTCCTAAACAGAGAGAGGAAGCTTGTAGATATAAAATAATCTCATAAAAGACTCCTCCCCAGCCCTTCCCTGAGGAATGCAATTAGAAAAGCACCTTTGATTCGGAAATGCTTTGGAGAACAGCCTGTTTATTTTACGTAAGTTTGAACAAGGCTTTGCCTAAAGAGGTAACTTTTGAGAATATCTGAATGCTTGCTTTGACTGCATATCTTCTTTGTGTGCTCAGATGTGACACAGAAAAATGCTGGTTTGCATGCATATTGAATAACCTAGGCAACAGGTGGAGCATATGGAAGACAAATGGATCCCGCTGTTTCCAGAGGATGCTTAGAATTTCCTCTGGCTTCTCCTTCAGCTATAATAGACCTTGCTATTTACACAGCCTCTTTTGTGAAGTATGTTATATGCCTTATTAATAGCTCAATAAACCCAGAATATATCTCTGAAATGGATAGGTGTCAGTGCTATTTTACATACAAGAAAGTGAGGCACAGGCAGGTCAATTGTTTGGAGTGACCCAGAAAATGAGTTGCAGATGCCAGGAACTGGAAGCAACTTTGGAGGTCAAGCCCCTACTTGATGGAGGAATACCCTCCACACAGCTGCTGCTGAACACCTCTCCTTGTTAGAAATTCTCTATTTTACATTGCAGCCCAAACCGTTTCCGAATAGCTTTAGTTATATTTAATGAATCTGAGTTCAGAAGAAAAGTACCTACGTTTTCTTGAATCTTAATCCAATTCCCGGTTCATTAAGCCACATGAGTGGGTTTGATGCTGTAAAAAGCAAATGTAATAAACCACTGGGACCCAAAGATCAGATCACAAATTTTAAACGTTAATTTCCTCCTCAGTCGAACTTAGAAACATGCAAAATGGCATTTCACAAACTTGTTGATATATTAATGTCTCCAAATCTAATAGGATTCTTAAGGAGATCTATGCATAAAATGTGAATCCTCTAAAGGATAGAAAAATCAGAACTGAGAAATGAGATATGGAAATGGAACTAGGGAAGGAATTACCTGGGGTGCAAAAAGCGGCATTATTAAGTGGAGATCTTCATACATATGATTTTTCAAAAGTACAACAAAAAAAGGTTAGTCGGAAACTTCCTTAAATAAAAAATATGTCTCTTGACTGCAAAGGACCTCATAGAAGAGTGTAGCCAAAGTACCTGAGATTATTGTGTTTCAATGAGTTCCACCATATATTTTGGTACTGAATTCCAGGTAATATCAGTGGTAACTAAAACTAATATACCTGGTGTACAGTATCCAAAGGTAAGTCTCGAGCAGAATTCGCAAAATTTGATTAGAAGGTCAAAGGACCGGGGTGGGGATACGGGAGCGAGAAAAGAGTGAAGTGAGAGAAAAAGGGATGATCATTGACTG